GGGCAATGCTCTATTTTCCCGCCAAATCCGCAGGAATCCCACATAAATTTATTACATTTTGGTGCCGAAAGCAAACCCCCTCCCTATGCTAGTTATTTTATGTGATGTGATGTGATGAGTATAATTTTCCATTTGTTTCAGTGCTCTTCCGGGTTCATCAATGAGCGACCTGACTTGATTAAAATGGCTTGTCCCAACTGCCGCAAATACACGTGTTTTAAGTGCAAGAAACAGGTACTACGGATTTTATTGAAGTGTGGCACACATTAAAAAATTCGCCTGCGAATTTGCCTACGAGACGTGATTTTGTCTGTATTCCTTTCTCGTGAAATGCGCAATGGACATCAGCGAAGTTCGTCGTGTTTACAGTAGGGGAAGAGCATAAGTAGTGATTTGAGATCCTTCGTCATAGATGAGATTGTTGAAAGTGGTGGGGATATCATAACTTGATTCTTTCCTAGAAAATTTGCAGAAATTGCTCGAAAACTTCCCCCGCCTCCATACTCAACTTTGAACTCAAACCTTCTACTCGCTGCCATAATTTCGAATTGAACGTTGCACGGGAATAGCCGAGAAAGGAATGCAGACAAAATCACACCTCCAAGTGCGCGGAGTCACAGCGTCTCGTAGGCAAATTCGCAGACGAATTTTTTAATGCGTGCCACACTTCAATGAAATCCGTAGTAAGTGAATATTATATTTATGTTGACATCGATATCTTGAAACAGCCTCTCCGCCGATACAAGTCAGTCTATTTAGTAGTCACCTTTGTGCGTGGTTGCTATCGTAAACAAGACTAATTGAGTGATATTTAAGCGTTTTACTGTGTTTTTTCTCTCTTGTTGTACAGTGGGAAGATCAGCACGAAGGAATCACATGTGAACAGTTCGCTGCATGGAAAACAGCTAACGATCCTGAAGCCCAAGCACATGGCCTTGCTGCGCATCTCAAGGAAAATGGAATCGGTAAGGATTTGTTTATTATAATTCTATAGCCAACGCACGTAGCATCCCAGAGGAATTGATGTCCCCTTCCCTCCTTCCCTCCGTCTTTCTCCTCCAGCCCCACCCCCTCCCCCTCCTCCCCATATTTCATGACCGCTCCCTTACGGAGGGCCTTCAGATATTCCATCGGCAGAAGTGTATGAAATGTTGGGATTACTTATAATTTTAATATTGTTGTCGTTGTTATAATGTAGTGTAATAACAGTGGTTTTTATCGTCCTCAGAATGTCCTAATTGCAAGTTTCGCTATGATCTGGCCAAAGGAGGCTGCATGCACTTTAAGTGTAACCAGTGTTCGCATGAATTTTGTAGCGGCTGTTATCAACCTTTTAGACAAGGAAACGTAAGTTCTTAAAGCTCATCTAACAATTAAAGATAACGAGTCATTTACCGATTGAATTTAGAAACAGAAGCTTGCGATGTTTCGACTGGAACTACTCTTCTTCAAATCTTCGCTAGTTTTCAAGCGCATCCCTATCCATCATTATTACTCAAGTGTATGTGACGTAATTCGAGCGAAAAACGACTGGGAATCCTATCCTGGGAATAAATTATGGCAAGATTTTAGCGATATTTTTGTGTGATTGCACCCAGAAAATACGTCACAACGTATACGTCCCTATAGGGACTTGGAGCGGGGAGAGATTACATAATAGAGAGTTTTAGATTGACTTTTTTTCTCCCCACAAACGGCAAACGTGACCACGTTTTCATAGTTTTCCTGTATTTTTACTTTTACAAACCTTCTCACCAAAGACAAATATTCTTTTGTTTTTCT